GATGGGACCCAATTATGTTAAGTGTATGGGTGAGTGCTCACAGGATTAATTGAAGCCACCTTTCTTACCACAGGCAGCAATGCACAAACTGTGTTTTAGAGCGATGCATTTGTAGACAATTCTATTGCCTTTTTAATGCATTCCATCATCTTTATTTAAAAATAAAGTTGCATGTTTGTCATGATGATGGTTTGCCAAAGTAAACATTATTTTTTTCTTTATATTTTATTTACTGACAATTGGAATCCTGTGATGTTCCTAACCCTTCTAATTTAAATGATTTACACAAGAACAAAAGGTATACTCTTGTGATGTCCATATTGTATACACTTTATATGGGGAACGTATAGATAAATGCCATAAGCAATTTGAACCGATGAAACTGTTGTATAAAGCTATTAAAAACCACACGTTATCTCATAAGCATCCCTTGTGGATATACCAAGAAAAAAGCATTGTAGTTTTAGATTAATGCAAAAAAAACCTCTCAAGACATTTTGGTGAACTAAGCACATAATATAACAACTCGAACACGTTTCTTCTACAAAACATGCATATTCGCAATAAAATATTAATTGTGAATCTAATATTAATGTAGGCTCTCTGAAATGTGAAGGCAAAAGTAGAGGCCATGAGATGTTCGCAAGGGGCCTATCCTTAAATGGAATTCTTAAGAATAAGTAATGACCAGTAATGTCTACAATGTTTAATTTATTGAAAGCTTGCTCATTGTACAACAATCACATGAATAAATGTATTGTTTAAGAAACTATTAAAAGTGCTTGTGTTTAATATCTGGAATGACACTTGCCAAGTCAAATCATGATTATTAATTTATATTGTAAGGTAATGTTTAGTCGAAATCAGAAAGTTGTATTGAATAATGTACTGTGCTTTGCCTCCTAAATTAAAATAACACAATTGGTGTCCCATCATTGCATTAGGAAGCTGTTATTTATTTGACCATATTCTTGGATATGAATTCCTGCAGTCACGAAAGCTTTAAGTCAAGATTTATTTGACCATTTACAGTCAATTTGACAAATAAAATGTCGGTATAAATGGTTAATATGATTTTTCAGGTAGAACACTTTTCATTGTCTTACATTTTCCATGAAGTAGATGAAAAACTTAACTTTACACATTGAAAAATATTATACTGTTACATTATAAATTTGTAGTTTTTACTTAGTTACTTTTTTCAAGCAGGTTAACATTTTTTTAATTGATGTTATTCTTGTGGGTATAAAACCTGCTCAAACTAAATATTTTCTGAACATGTTTTGCTATCACCGTTGTGAATATTTTACGTGCTATAATGTATCATGTCTTGAATTGAAAATTTGCAACAAGCAACTTATAATTATTCATTGAAAATGTAAATATTCACATCCATAGCATAAGTTTAAGCATTCGTTTCATTGGAATGCGTAGCAAATCTGTCTAATTCGCTGTTTATCATCCAAATATAAATTCTCAGCTGCAACACACTAGAAAGCCATTATGTAATTTGACAACAGCTGTGTGGAACATTTGGTTGAGACTGGCAGTCAAAAAAGGGAATGCACCTGTGAGGAATATTCACCACAGAAAGAGCTATGAAATCTGTAAGTTAACATCTTGCCTCAGTGGGATGCTGACGTCTGTTGTATATTTGGAGTTTGCATGTCTCTTTCCTTGTGGTCACCTGGATTTTTCTCCGGGTCCTCCAGTTTTTCCCTTCACATTTAGAATCAACATGTGTTTAGAATATTTAGCTGTTATAAATTTCCACGTGATAAGGCACTTCGTTGAGCTATCATTTGTGGTCATTCCACTTCTGAAAAAGCTATATATCTCAATGGTTCTTACCTTGTAAAATAACAGTTTAGTTTTTAGTAAGTGTGCAGGAGGTAGTTGGAGTGTTGCTTTGCCAAACATGCAGGATAGCGACTGCCTTGGGAGGCCTTCGTCCATCAGTGCATTGATCATGGCTAATGATCTTTGAGACACCAGTTATACTGTTTTCTTAAAAAACAGTATAAACCAATTGCTTGAATTAATAAAATAATGCGTACATGTGGTTGAAACTTTTGACTCATTTTTCTTTCCCTGATCGTCGATTATTAATGAGTTTTCAGTGAGCCTTTTAAATATTACATAAGAGAATCCATAAAATATTTTTAAAAATATGTAAAATCTGATATGTAAAAAAAATCTTGCTATTTGTGTCATTTACAGCTATATGATTGATGCTGCTGTGTTTCGGATGACGCTTTATTTAGACATTTGAGAATCACTTCGAGAACATAATTTATAGTACTTCAGCAGAAAGATATTATCTTGTTCCAAGTGTAGTGAGTCCAACTGAGCCGCAGATGTTGTCTTGGGAGCAACACAATTTATTCCACCAACTCAACATAACATAACACAACCTACACTTGGGTGTTGAATGCACATCTAGCCATGCTACGGCAGAACTAGACACGGTTTGCTATCCCGGCCCGGACCACTAGCTGGGTCCTGGACCGTGTTGCTCGAGGCTTTTTTAACCGGATGTGAATCTTCTTCATCAGCAACCCAAAGAACCCCGAGCCCCTCACGGGGTCCTCGTTATATCGGGCTGGGGCTGGCTCCGCCCTTAGCCCCGCCCACCTTCTAGATCTCTCGAGCTCTTTCCCGAAGGCTCCCGAGAGCTCTTTTATACCACGTGACCGGCCAGCAGGCCCGCATCCACTGGTGACCCCCCTCCAATATCATCCGGTCACGTGTCGGCAGGTCAACCAGCGTATCATGCCCCAACGTAACCCTGGCTGGCTGACGCTCCCTCTCGCTCCCTCACCGCACACTGTACGTGGTGCCTCCTTGCTGACCAGCGCTCACCCAGGCCCCGCGAGGGCTGTAACTACACCCAGTAAGCGGGCTACACATAATGCCAACACATTATCCGACGTGGCTTCGTAAGCCCGGCACCACACAGTGACATTCACAGTCACTACACAAGTATGAAGAAAATAAGATTTAAATGAAACGTGGCACAGATGATTATTTTGTATAGTTTGCGGAGCGCAAAGATTAATATGCTGATGTAATATTTCGTGGTCCTTTAAAAAGGACTGGAATCTCTTACATTTCCTCATTTAATTGAATAACATTCTGCATTTGAATGCTTGTAGGAATATGTACGTATACTTTTTTTGTCAATTTTAACTCGATGTTTCAACTAGATGTTTTATAAACCTTTTATTTGGCTTTAACTTATTGTATGGTACTGATTTAACCTAAAAATATATGTTTCAGTACAAGTAAGTTTAAACCGCATTGTTTGTGATCATATAGGCATTTACAGTCATACCTCATTTAATGCGGTTGATACGATCCTGAAAGTGCTGCGTTTTGGCGCAAACTGCGAAAAACAAATAATTACTCTATTGAATCGCATTTGCACTATCAAATCAGCCTGCAGCCATCCCATGGCAAGACAAAGAACAGATTAGGGTACACCGTGTACTGTATTGTTTTGCGTAATGTGTCATCACTCGGCTGCACAGCTTCAAGTAGTCAACCACACAGAAACCGCGTTGTGTGACGTGTTCCCTAATTGAGGAACCGTGTTATAGCGAAAATGTGTCGTATGAAAACACGTTAAGCGAGGACTTACCGTAGGTGTGAAGTGATAGCAAAATTCACTCATTTTTTTTGTCCACGTGTGGTTGTTATTTATTGATTTAAATTAATGCAGTATTTTTTCACACTTGTAGAAAGGTGTGGAGGTGATGGTTTTGGCTTCTAATGCATGACATACAATTACAAAGTTGGGGAAAATAGTTGCTTGCCATCGTGATATAGCAAATATTCATTCAGTAGCCAAGCACTCCCTGAAGCATTATATAATTACTCAAAAAGAATGCTAATGGTGGCTAATTATCCATGTCATCCCTGGGTTACTCCCCTTCATGCCTGGTGAACATTCTAGACAACATCACAATGGGTGATATGCATGCAGGCATTTCAGGGAGGCTAAATTGCAATAGGCTGCTAAGTAGATTTCTCTAAAGTCCTCGTGAAATTGATTAATTAAATGCATTCATCACACTCAACATCTCAACCTGACATTGTGTAGCGCTAGATTTTCAAAAGCCATTTGCAAAGGGCATAGTCGACAGACTAGTACATATTGAATGTGCTCATTTCACAGTGTTATTCCAGCTTTTTATGTACGCATTATTTGGCCTTTTTGTTTCATCTGCTGAATAATGTATATGGTAATGTGCATACATATCACGCATTTTTTCAGTATTTAACTGGTTTAATGTTTTTTTAATGTTTTATGTTATTGGCCAAACCTTTGTTCTTACGTCATGTTTTTTGTTGAATCTCATGCCAACAACATAGATTTCAATCAGAAGCTACTATGAAGCCAATATTGCCTATCCATACTATTTAAGTGTCTCCATGCAACACTAGTTGAGAGTTGTAGATGACCTTGCAGGCAGTGACCGTGTCTAAAGCAAGGCACGTCATCCAGTCGTACGTCTTGGCCAAATATATTAAATAAACAAATTAATAAATGGAACGAATGGATTAATGAACTCGTATATCATGTAAACGAACACCATCCATCATAGCTGTTCATGCGTTGTTGAACTTTACTTGTTTTTAAAATATAAATAGTTTTATTAATATGTTCTGGGTATGTGTTCTTATGTTAGGTAATTAGAAATTGAGTGTATATTGCCGCAACAGGACAATTTGAATTTGTCATTAAATAGGTGCGTCACGCCAACCTGCGACTGTTGCGCAGCGCCTCGTGTGAATTTGCTTGCAGCCCCGTGGCCCTATTTCCACTACATATCTGATAAACAGCAGCTTACGAAGGCTTCATTACTTAAGGTGCATGTGTCACGCGACGCAAGCACGCAACCCTGCCACGAACTAAACGGCAATGAATTCTAGCTAATTAAGAGCCTCTACGGTTGTGTAACGGGCCCCGCTTGTTTTTTGGTCTTCCCTCCTGCCAGGTTTGGCTCTTGCGAGGAATCTAATGACTGCTGCAGGGCCGTCTGCTGCTGGGGCCATCCGAGCGACAGGCGCGCAGCCTCTCTGGCTTCTGAGAGTTGTTAGGGGCCTCTTCTCCCAACTCACCTGCTGGCACGTCAGCCCCATGCGACCAGCAGGTTCTACGAAGTAGAGGTGAGCGGGAGGTGTGGCGCTAATGAGGCGGGGTCTTTAGAGAATCATTTTGCGTTCGCGTGGGGGCCTTTTGCTCTCTGCCACAGGTCACGCCAACAAGCATTGGGATGTAGTTTTTTATTTATGGCACAGAAGCGCCGGCAGAAGATCGCTTAATATGCAATTAATCCTTTGTGTCATTGGCCCTGTATGTGTCTCCAAATGCATGTTAGCTTGGGTTATCCACAGATATTGACTTTTTGTAAATAAAATAAAGGTTCCCTCAACATGTGCTGAACTGTCCAAATTGTCTGGTATTTTTGAAAGATTAATTGATCCCACCAAATTGAATTTACATATGGGGCTTAAGTGTGAAGAATGCTTTATTTTTCTATCGTTGCATTGTCAGCTTCATATAGTGAATGAGCTTCATTGTGTTCATTCACTGACGGTCCTTCAGTATTGCAGCCAACTGAATGCAGAGTGCTTGCATAGTGAATCACGTGCTGTTTAACATTACACACGTGCTGTAACATTAAAATTATATTATCTAATTATATATTGCCTGCTAAAATAACAATGGGTAGATCTAAAAAGAGCATTCTCAACTATATTGATGTATTGTTTTTGTTTATTTTGCTTGTGCACCACTGCCAAAGCAGCAGCATCAAATGATTTGTATGGATATATTTGATTGGTTCCAAAGATTGTTGAAATATTTTTTGTTTTGGCATTCGTCTGTTTACAACGAAGAAAGTTAATGCTCACACGCGAATGTTGTGACCATGCGATGTATTCATGAAAAGTGGATATCACTTGAACATTTTATAACCATTATTTGTTTCTATTTGCACAGCATTGTTTGTTTATTTTAATGTGCAATTGCCTTTAGTCTTTCTTTGAAATTTTATCTTTACATTGGTGAAATGCATGTGGCTAATTTTCCATCCACTGACCAAAATAAGCATCCGTTTTACAACTCACAATTATCCACCATAATGAAGGCGGCAACATCTGCTTCCAACTTGACCTATGACCGATTAATTTATTTTTCCGTCCATTTTCTATCAACCCAGCTGCTTTATGGGGATGTTCTCAACACCGTCATGAGTATAAGATATATGAATACGATTATTTGAGCATGTTTCATTGATGAACACTTTATAGTATTCCTCTGATTTAATTAGCCATTTTAACTACTTTGCATTGACACTGGCATTTAACATCATCAACTTAGAAAGTATATTGAATCTTCAACTTACTGTAGAGACTCATCCCAAAGTTGTACTAAGACAAACACAAACCACAACATGAAATTAACATTATGTTCTGTTAGGGTTCATGTGGCTCTAATCCATAGCTTCATTCATGCAATGCACGATTTGAAAAGGGCTTTAATTGGACAGGCTGCCCTCCGAGACTGGTCCATGTGGAAAATATTACAATACTTGTGTAATTGCCCATAATATGAAGGGTTAATAGAATTTAATTTAATGAAAAAGACAAAAAATTAAAGATTGTATTGAATTTATTTAATCGAAAATGTATCCGTAAATCACCTTTATCATAGCGTTCGAAGAACTGTTTGATTTACCTTACTATCAGGAAGTAAACGAAATGTTTCAATAAAAAATGGTTTCCAAACTTACATTTTTTCTCAACTGTCAAGAGTGAATAAAACAATTAAAACAGGTGTTTCTCGAGTTATGTTTCTTGCAAATGTGCAATTGTTGTAGGAAAAGTATCGACTTACTGGATTCTGTATTGATGTGAATACATAAAGAATAAACTATTTGTAAACCGAAATGACAGGTTGTTCACTAATTTTCACAGCATTTTTGCAAAATAATTAGCAAAAAATGTGAGGTCGCTTTTGCCAAAATGAATTTGCACTCGGTAACAATAACTTACTGGTTTTTGAATTCATATGAATTAGACAAACGTTACTATTATTGATAGGAAGGGGAGAGGTCAATGTTAATTAATTTTCACAATTTTTCACTCTGTGTGAGCTAAAGAGATCAAAGTGAATCTCTGCTGAATTCAAATTAAAAGTGATTCCGCTTCTTGATTAAAATTCATATTCGCTGTCTAAAAACAACTGTTGTCACACAATTTAACTGACTAGATTATAATTATTATTTGTTATTATTATTCTTAGGTTTTTTCGGTAAAGTCACGTAGGTAAAAATAAAATTTAAATAAAAAATAAAAAATCACGACGTTTCGGAGGCAACACAAGCTTCCGTCTTGAGGTGGAACCGTCACAGCCACGACAGCTGTATCAAGTAAATGAGACTTGATACAGCTGTCGTGGCTGTGACTTGATACAGCTGTCGTGGCTGTGACGGTTCCACCTGAAGACGGAAGCTTGTGTTGCCTCCGAAACGTCGTGATTTTTTTTTACCTACGTGACTTTACCGAAAAAACCTAAGAATATGAATCCTTGCAGTCACGAAAGCTTCAAATCTAGAATTATTATTCTGTAACAGCATGCAAAACGACTTTTATTAAAAGCGGTGCTGGTATATTTTTGGATATAATTTATTATTATTGTAAAAAAACTAATAATTAGTAACAATTTGACTAAGCCTTTCATGAAAAACTAACAAAAAAATTGCATGAAAATCCACGTAGCCTATCCGGCGTTACGCACATAGTGTCAGGTGTTAGACACAGATCACCAAAACTATATATTTTTTTCTCTAACCTATAAAAGGAATTTTTTGTCTGTGTGGCTGATACTTGCGAGGTAGTTCGCTCACGAACCGTGGGGTTTTTTTTTTTTAAAAGTACCCAGGTAGCACGCCATAAGCCGCGTGGTGAGCCAGCGCTATTCGCGTCTCACCTTTAAAGTAGTTTAATTACCGATTTTGTGCTGTATTTGGTTATTTACTTATTAAAGTTGCGCCTCCGAGCGCGCCAAAGCATGTAATTGCGCATGCGTGGCCCTACCAAGTCACACGTATTCCGTGAGGGGGAATTTCAGTAAAATGTTTCAGGTTAATTTATTTGATATAGCCCTGTGAGCCATTCGGCTCTTAAATCGGGTGCAATCGCAACAAACAAAAACATGAACAAGAAAACATGTTAAAGTGACTATGCGCAAACAGAAAAACCAGGAAAAAACTGCAAAGTCTTCCAGAAAAAAAGCACCATACACCAACGCTGTGCAAAAATCCCAGTGGGATGCAAGTCAAACAACAACAACAACCACAAGACAACTTAGATTAAAGCCATCATTCTAACTCCGTACTACAACAAACAAACATGGCCAAACCAAAAAAACTTTTCTAAATCACCAAAATAAAACCATAAGCAATGTAACAGTGATCATAGGAACTGTGACCGAAATTTCACAGTAAACGACATAAACAACATGTACCACCAAACCCTGTAGCCACTGTACAAGGCAAGGCAGATTTACAGCTCCCTTAGAACATTTATTAAAATTACTGTTCACTCATTGCTATTACTGCTATTCAATATTAAATGATTTAAAGTTGTATATATTTTTAATGCACCGCTCGGCACGCGTGCTGAAGCCTACCAACTCACACGCGTTTGGATGGGGGAGGGAATTCTCATTCGTGTGGACACTGCACAATGTAAGACTCACATTATTACAGCTCCCTTAAAACATTTATAAAGATTCCTGTTGACTCATTACTGTTATTTTATAGGTTAGATGCTACACATTAACCAATGTTTTATCATAGTTAATTGAAGTAACACGATTTTCTCCCTGAGTAGTAAGTACTCTAAAATTGGTTTACAAAATGGTTATTCCCCACAAACTTGCTTTAGCACCCACGTCTTTTTGTGAGGCAATGACACAAATGCACACATTTTCTCTTTGAAAATAGGTACATTTCTAAATATCACTGTCCTGCTCACAAAAAACAAGTTTTAGGGGAGGAATAGTCGTCTTCTGTACTCTTGAGGCATAAGCAGCCACCTAATATCACTTGCTGCACTGGGGCAAAACAAATATACTGATTGCTATTACATCTTCATTTTCACATTTACACGTGCCCCCTCAGTACGGGGGTTGAGCAGTGACGTTATGCCAATTACGCTTGATTGGTGCACATCTGCCTATCACAGCAAGTATTAATTGATTTATTATTCGTTGATTTTCATTTTTTTGCCGGTTTTGCTCGCGGAAAATGTTTGTACTTAAATGGCGGAACACCCTCGTCGTCGCTCTTAATTACTTATTATATACGCGTGCATTTCCCCTCTCCCTTCTTTCGCTAAAGTCACAGATATAAAACTATTATTTAAAAAGTTAGTAAATGTAAAAGTAATAGTGTGTGGTGTGCGTCGATGTGTTTGTGTAAGTCCATGCGTGTGTGTGCCTGGGTATTTTGTACTATCGGGCACTCCATCCCCACAACTCCCAATCGGTGATGGGGCAGTTGTGGAGAGAGTGGAGAGTTTCCCATACCTGGGCAGTGTGCTCATGACCGGCTCCGATTTAACAGCAGAGGTCTCACTCCGAATCAGTCGAGCGGCATTATCTGTCGCTCCACACGAAGCTTCGGGTCTTCTTGGCCGCAGTCATTCCCTCCCTTCTCTACGCTTGCGAAACGTGGACTCCCCTAATGGAACATCTCCGCCGGTTAGAAACATTTAGGCTGGCCTGCCTACGATTAATCCCGGGTTTAACCAGGCTGGATTGTGTGAGGAGCTCACAAATCCTCGACAGATCTGGACAAAGTCCCATCGGTGAGCTCCTCCGGCAGGCTAAAGCTGTGTTGGCTGGGCCATGTAGCCCGCATGCCCAATCACCGCATGCCCAAACAGCTTTTGTTCGGCCGGATCGAGGGGGCTAAAGGGGCGCGGCACGGGCTAGAGAAGAGATGGAGTGATGTGGTACAGGAGGATGTTGGAGCTGAGTGGACTTGCCGATGACTGGTACCAGCGGTGTCAAGATCGGCCTCTGGAGGAGGCTCGTGAAAGACGTTACTGGGCAGTTGAAGGCAGTCGCCCTCCAACAACAACAGAGGGCGGAGGAG